GAAAAAAGTGTGTGGGTCTTGGATTACATCTTTCTGTAGAACTGACAAATTGGTAATTGTATTCCCAGAAAAGCTATTCAATATACATGTACCCACACGGAGCACTAATGAGTGCCCATACCATAAAACACTCCTTACATCCCATCACCTCACACAGAGCTAGGCCACAGGACAGAAAGGAGGACGCATGAGCCTTCATACCCACATTGGCAGTAGCTACCAACAGACTCCCTTCTGAATTCTTGACCTCTGAGATTCCAGCTTTAGCTGTTCTGCAGACTGAATTCACCCTAAACCTGGTCTTTTTCCCATTTTTCATTGCCTAATGCAATCTCCATCTGGACCTCCTGGCAGCCCTTCTCTGGCCAACTCACCACACAACAAAGGAGAGAGCCCCAGGTCAGAGAGCCAGGAGGCCTGGCTTCTGCCACCAGCAGCAGGTGACCCTGCATAGGTTCTTTTGGGTAGCTTCACCATCCATGTGTGTGTGTGTGTGTGTGTGTGTGTGTGTATTTATATATGAGAAACTACTCGGCGCTCTCTTCTGATTCCTAAAGGAATCACCCATCCTCACTTCCCTTCCCCCTTCCAAGAATCTCCTCCATGCTCTCATGCTACTAACAATGCCTCGTTCTTCTCCCAGCACATGAGCACAAAGTGTCAGTGTCCAACTTGATGCCTTTCTCTCTCCCTCAAATCCAGTCAGTCATCAAAACCTGCAGGATTTCTGGACAAGATCACTCACTCTTCATCTCTATTGCCACTGCCCTGATTTATACCTGAAGCTACCTCCATGGGTTATTCCAATACATTTTTTCACAGGAAGTTGCTCCTTGGCCCTCTAACCTGCCCTTCTCAGCCCTGAATCCTCCTGAAAGCAGAGAGTTCACCATGTGTTTTCCACACCAAAAGACCTTCAATGTCATGGGAAGAAAATGTCAATTCCTTAGCTTCAGAGTTCAAGGCCTTCCCTGACCTCTCCCCAGCCTAAGACGCCAGTCTCACCTCTCCCAGTGTCCCCTCCCCACCCCACCCTCTGACTCTAGCCATGTGGGCCACTCCTCACTGGGCTTGTCCCAGTCTTTCAGGTTCTGTTTTCATTTCTTCCTCATCACCTGTGCAGAATAGCCTACTCTTTTCCCCTTTTACGGAGGCAAACGTTGCAAAAGCAGCCAGCTCCAGGCCCATGGTTACCACAAACTCTTCCTGGACATCTGCTAAATGTAGGGCTGCCCACAGGTGTCTGGAGTGGATGTGAACAGAGACATGCAAATAAAGCACCTCAGTACCGTAGCACAATTCTCCAGCTGATGATACATGTACATACTAGAGAGAAGGGTAAAAGTGCTTAGAGCTGGGGGCTAGGGGAGGCGCTTCAAGAGTTTGATCTGCATCCTAAAGTTTTTTTTTTTTTATTTTTTAATGTTTTATTTATTTCTGCGAGAGAGAGAGAGAGGCCTCATGAGCAGGGAAGGGTCAGAGAGGGAGACACAGAATCTGAAGCAGGCTCCAGGCTCTGAGCTAGCTGTCAGCACAGAGCCTGATGCGGTGCTTGAACCCACGAATCACAGGATCATGACCTGAGCCAAAGTTGGACGCCCAACCGAGTGAGCCACCCAGGCGCCCCTGCATCCTAAAGTTTTAATAAGGGTTCGTTCAGCTCACAGAGCAGACAAAGAGCTTTCCAGGAAGAGCAAATAGTGTGTGCAAAGACAGAGAGGCACAAAAGATAGGATCTCTTGAGCTACTCAGTTTGGGGAACAGTGGAGATGCAGCTGATGAGCTAAAGTACTGCCAGCCTTTGCAGAGCCTGGAATGCCAAACAAGGATGTTATACTTTATCATATTGAGGAGGGAACCCTATCCCATCTTGTGTAGACCTTCCATCCACAGCTACAGCACAGGACCACGATGACTACATGACATGGAACATAGTGATTAAGAGCGTAGAGCACAATGAGGGGTCAGTTCTCTGTGTGCATAAGGGCATACGTGACAGACGGAGGAAATGAAAGCAAGGATTATAGCGGAGCGCCAAAGTAAGAATTACTTAAGGAGCACTAAGTAGAAATCATAAATTTTCTGAAGACAAAGCTTGGGTTAGCAGCCCCCTGGAAGATTGCAGGGCCTTGAGGAGATCTGAGGCTGAAGCTAAACAGATTGCATCTCCCAGACTGTTTATTGAATGTGTCAGAGATAAGAATGGATGTCTTGAAACTCTGCAAGGGCAAGAGCTGGCTCCCAGAGTCTATAAGGGATCCAGCCCACCTTTCTAAAACCACCTGTGGGCTCTTTGAAAACTGAGACTCCTGGATGCCAGCAAGTATTGAAACTCAAGATGCATGCCAGGAAACATAAAGTGGAACCACTGTAAGGAGGAAGCAGGAAATATAGTGACTCCAGAAAAGACAAAGCTGCCAAAAGCTTCAGCCTGGTTGTGCCCACACCAAGTGGTGACAATGTCACATCTCCCTCCACCCCAAGTGTCACCTCTTGAATGAGGGTGCACAGCCTGGGAACTTAATAAATGTTTAGATGCCTCATTAGTTGCATTCACATTAACTTTTCCTTCTTATATTTTGCAAGACAGGATCCGCCAGAGGATTTTAAGTAGGTAAGTGTCATGAACAGGTTTGTAATTCAGGAAAGAAGAAAAAAATCTGATGGCCACGCTAAAACCAACTTCCACATTTTATTACGTCAAATGGTAGAGCCTAAAGGGCATGACATTCTTCTCCAAAGCTGAATTGTCTCAGAATCATTCCCCATCCTCACTTCTGGAAGCTGTCTGGTCAGTCTGAAGACAGATACCACATACTCCCTGGCCCTTCCCGCCCACAGATTCTATCTCTCCAGAGCTCTTCCACCTGTCCCACTCACTGCCTCTACTCTGGTGGATTTTCAATGTCCTAACTGGTCCCTCCATGCCAGGGTCTCTCCCCTCCACTCACTCCTTCCCACAGCCACAGTGGACTAGAGGAGGCCCCACCGTGGCCTTCATTAGAATCATCCCTGGAGGAATTTGGGAACACCATCCCGAACCTACTTCATCCAAATAGTTTAAAAGCTCCCCAGGTTTGCAAACCATGGTCCTTAATCCTTGCCATAGATAGAGAAGAGGGCCACCCTGGAATGTGTTAGAAAGCAGATCAGGTTCCACCCTGACCTAGGAATCAGAATCTCCATTTGAATTAAGAGCGCCCTCGTGATTCTTAAGCTTGTTAAAGGTTGAGAAGCTCAGTTCCAAAGGGTTGCCTGACCATTCATTCCACAAATATTTACTGAATTTTCTCCCTGTCTGGCTAGGGGTTGGGAGGGTCAAGGGCCAAGGTCCGGGACTTTGAGAAGCTCATGGAACCATCAGTCAGTCCCTTGATTAAAACCTGTCACTGGCTCCATGCTTTCTGAGTCCAGACTTCTGCATCTGGCCTTCATGGCCCACTGGGGCCAGGTTTCATCCCTGTCACCAGCTTTGCACTCGCTCTGGTAGCCCAGTTAGACCACTTGCCACTTCTCAAGACTAGCTGGTGCTTGCCCTGCCTACACAGATCTCAGCCTAGGTCATGCTTTACCTGCCTCTGCCCGGAGACACCCAGGAGAAATCCTCTAAGATCGATCACGCACATTACTCCTTTCTTGAAATTATCCCAGATCTTCCCTGCTCAGGTGAAAGACAGGAATTCCCACAACTCTTTGCTCTTTCCTCCTTCATAGCATTTGCCATTCGACTCGGTCTTAAAACTAGCGCACCTGCCACAGCGACCCCAGTAAAGAAGAGATCATGATTCTCAGTTTGTCTCCTCAGTAGCAATAAGCTAATAACTGGCACATCATCTAATTTCTAACTAAGAATAATAATAATAAGTGTATGAATAAAATCATGGATGAATGCAGTAAGTGAGAAATGCTCTACTCTCTCTCCTTTCCGACTTCATAGTTGTTTAAATATGAATTTAAGCAGAATATTAATGGGCTGCCTTTCAAGCTCAAAAGAGAAATAATCTCAAAATCAAATAATATTTTGTGTTTTCTAGATACAAATAACAAAGACTGAACATCTTGAAGATGAATTTTGTGCACAGCCAACTACCTTCCTGTAGTTGGGTGTTTAACTTCACAAAATGCAACATACAATCTGGAAACACTTCTGATTTGTATTATAATCAATTAAGAGACTGGGAAAGGAAAGAGACAGATGAAGAGAAAGATAGGAAGTAGACCAAAGTATGGAAAGGGAGACAGACCGATAACAAATAACCAGCTGTTCTAAAAGTAAAAATACAACATGCTGGATTTGTTTTTTAAGAGGATTAAACACTAGTTAGAAAACCTGTTTCAATCCTGGTCAAACTTTAGAAATTCTAGCTTTTAAATACATAATCTTATTTTCATTTGAAGGAAAACTGCAGGTCTGGAGTTGGGATGTCATGAGGGAGAGGAGGAGCCCACTTTAAGTAAGACCATCCCCATCTGGCAGTCTCCTGGGACTGCAGGGCCTTGACATTTTGATACATATGTTGCATTTTTGCAGTTAGAGTATAGAGTAGGTCTCAGTCAAGGCGTTGCATCTGACCACACTGAACAGATATGCCTGGGCAAAGAGACCCTACGCTGCCCGACCCCCTTGTGCTCTCTAGATTACTCCGATGCTTCAGTGACATACCGCACAAAACTGAGGTGACTGACCATCCAGCGCATCTCCAGGGCCATGCTGGCACCTACAGGGGCGAGGATTGTCCATAGATCCCTGGCAGGGTTGCGTGAAAATTCGAAGCAAATCCACGGGAGTTATACCCTCCTCCCAGCCTCCTGGCCAGAGAAGAGGCAAAGCGTTCCTGCCCTCGCGTCTGGGACACGCTCTGGGGCCCTAACTGGCACTGACCCCCACTCCTCCAGTGGTTTTTGAATCTGGGGGCTTTCAGTTAGCTAGGCAATGTACCCGCGGGGGCTCCCGGTCCGGAACGCGCAGGGGGCTTGGGGCGTGGGGACAGCCCACTGACCTGGGTGCTGGGCTCCTCTCCGGGCGGCTCAGGTGTGAGGGCCGCTCCCGTGTCCCTCCCACCTCCGAACATGAGAGCCGAGAACCGAGCTGCAGGCCACTGACCCACCGACCAACTGACCGACCAACCAGCGGACCGAGCGGCAGCGGCCGGGTCTGGAGCCCACGTGACGGGGGCGGGACCCACGGGAGGCTCGTCCCGGAGCCGCCGCTTCTTCCCCCCCCTCCTTCCCCTGGGACCGCCCCTCCACTCCCCTTCCTTCTCGGACTCCGCGGCGGTCCACAGAAACCAGTCCGCCACCGGTTCCCTGTCTTAGGGAACCGGCCTCGTCAACCCCGCCCTTTCGAACCTGCCTTCGCCTTGTCAGCCCAGCCGCAGCCCCGCCCCCTGGACGGCGCTCCGGTCCACAAGCCCCGCCTCCCAGGAGACCACGCCCCCGGGAGCCCCGCCCCACTCCTGTCACCTCCCCGCCCTGCACCCTTCCGGCCCCGGAGAGACCAACGGGCGGTTTCTGGCTCTAGTGCCGTCAGTCCCCTGGGCTTCTCCAGCCCTTCAGCACCATTCGTTCCCCGGACGGAGGAAATGAAAACGAGGAACCAGAGAAGCAATTTGTATCCAGAGTTGTAAAGAGAGAGAAGCCACAGAAAAACTTATTGGAGGCACACCCAGAGCATAAACCCTTTGGGCGTCCGGGCTTTCCGGACCTGTGGGATCTAGTCCAAATTGAGGTTGGCCTGAAGGCAGCCTCATTCCCTGTCTCTGATCAACCCGTCTGGACGGCTCTGCGTCCCTCTAGAGTCCGGCTGCGCTTGAACCCCGCGACCTGGGGCAGAGGTCCCCCTAGTGGACACTTTAAGCCTGGTCTTGTGAGCAGCGAAGGACAAGAAGCCCTTCTCTGTGCTCAGCACCAAGAGAAGGGTTCCATAGGCCCAAGAGCTTTGCCGACCTCCGACCACAGGAATGGATTCTGGAATCAGGACAGGACTGGGCCTTGGGAACTTAGTCCAACACCTTCCCCTAGTGTATGGCCTGAATCCCCTTTGGTTGTGCTACTAGGTTGTTGCCTTGCCTGGGCCTCCCAGGACTGGTTGCTCAGTTCAGCTGATTAAAATCCCTGTGGGCCGCAGATGACATCTACACCGCAGACTCTGGCGTAGTCCCCAGCCCTGGCAGGAGTCACTACAGCCCTGGCCTCAGTTTTTATCTACGTTTCTACAGGCTGGACAAACTCCATAGGACACATCTCTTTTCAAATTACCCTGGTGGTCTGAAATTACCAGTGTGCCCGGAAGGCTTTTACATGTGAACAGAACTTAAGCCACCCTTGCAAATATGAGACTCTGGTCAGTGCAGGAACCTGGCCAGAAGCAGACCAAAGGCAAAGCCAGCAGAGGAAGGCTGGGGCCCACAAGAGTTGTGTTACAGCAGGACACCCTTCAGTTCTCTTTCACTTCCTTAAAATAGCAGCAGAGGCTTTTGTAGACCTAGGCGCTTCAGTTCACATGAGTTCGTGGGTGTTTCCAAATCCCACATGTTATTGCCCCAGCAGACACACTGCCCTAGCCTCAGCTCCTAGTAAATGCTAGTCTGTTCTCAAGACTATTTAATTTTACTTTTAAAAATGGTATAAGCCACTGGCTCTCAAGCTTATTCACACTCCCTAACCAGGCTGTGGGAGGGGACTTTAAAAATACAGCCTAGGTCCTACCTCCAGAAGTTCTGGCTTAATCCTCTGGGAGTATAGCCTAGTATCAGAATTTCTTTTTTTTTTTTTTTTAAATATATAGTATCAGAATTTTTTAAAGCTCCTCAGGTGATTCTTACAGGCAGTCAAGTTTAAGAACCACTGCTACAGGTCATAGGCACTTTCATCCTGACTAAACTCCAATAAGAGACCTCAGAGCTGAACAGTTCACCCAAAAGAAGCCCAAGATACTGTCCATGGGCCCGAATGCTTTGCTGCCCTGGCTCCCAGGAAACAAAGTGACACATTAACACGGAGAAAATGTCTTGACCTAAAAGAGTGATTCTAGCTGTAGGTATTTAAAATGCTTGGGTGTGTTGTTAGTGGCAGGTGCAGCCTACAGAATTGTCAAGTCAAAGCATATCACAGATGAAAGGCAACCCTCCTCGGTGCTTCCAAGGGAATTATGTGTGTGGGGCTCACACATAATTCCACTCACTGATAATCCCATGCTACCCTCCTCCAGAGGCAGTCCCTCTTCCTTATCCCCATGAAATAGGTAATGTCATTTTGCCCGCGGAGTAGGTAATGTCCACAAACCCATGGAGTAAGGAACATTGCCATGCTTTATTCATACCTGCCTCATTCCACAACAGATTGGGGCTCTGTATCTATTAGAACTATGGGTAATTGTGCTGTATGCATGGGGTGAGTAATTCCATTCTGCCAGAGATCTACTCAAATGCTATGAGGGGTGGGGGTGGGGGTGGGGGAGGGTCTCTTCATTGCCTATGGTCCCACCCTGAGCTTGTCAGAGTTGGCCAAACAGCTGCAGGCACACAAAGCCAACCCTCTCATGTGACCAACCTGGGAAGACAGAGGCCTCAGCACATGACACAGACGGGCACCACAGCCTGTGCCTGTGACCCACACCAGGCTGAACTGGACAAACACGTGGGAAAGATTTGAAGAAGACCCTCTGGACAGGCACAGCTGCCCTCTTGGTCACCTGCACCACTTGGCATGCCTGCTGTGACAGAGAGCCACTTGCCTGCTACCTGGCTTCCATCCAGATTCCAGAATCTTCACCAAGGGCCTCAGTGTGTTGGGGAGCTTCACAGGGAATCCCAGCACAGATAGCACTTCCTGAGAGCCTGTATGTCAAGGGCATGTAGCAAATATAACCTGATGAGGGTTATTTGCTTCGTGTCAGTTTTATTGTGTTTCTAGCAAGAAAAGAGACACAGAGGAAGGTAAAACAAGATGAGGCTACAGGTGAGGTCCTCACCCTTAGGCTGGTTTTCTGGAGGAAGTAGCTTTTGAAGGCTTATAGGAAGGTTTTGTGCAGACATGAAAAACAGCCAAAGGGGGCAGACCATTATTTTTAGGATGAAATGATGAATGTACAGCTTACAAAAGGTTTGGTGAGCAAACATGCATTTCCTTGGGCAATGGAAAGACTGTGGGATTTGAAGTACCTTCCAGCCCTATTTTCATTTTGCGGTTGTGTTACTTTGGCTCACCTCAACTTTTCTCATCTCTTAACTGGCAATGATAGACTTCTGCATGTCTCAGAAGAAGACATGGGATGGGGATTAAACGATGTCCATAGATGCAAACACTTTGTAACGGGCATGTGGTATTCACATGTGAATGGTTTTGCTTCACTATTGTAGCTACTCAGCTTGGTGGAGAGGCAGAGCTAGGGAAACAGAGATTCAACATCAGGAAGAGATTGATTGTATTTTATGGTCCAGTGACAAATGGAAGAATATCGACAGGCATTTATGAAAGAGGAAAGAGCTTCAGGAAAGGCCAGGAGGGAGGCCAGGAGTACTAGAAGGTGGCCTTCATTTCTAATTCCTGGCTGAGGGGAGTAAAGAAAAGGATGGACATACACTAGATCAGAATGTGGAAGGCCTTGAGAAGGCCTTGGAAGACCTTAGAGCCAGCAGGTTTGGACGGGTGATGGAAGTGGAAAATGTCTGAATGACAGACTCTCATCTAAGGTCTTGGAAGATACCTCAGGCCACAACATCCAGGGAAGGATGCATATGCAAGCCCGCTTCTACGCCCTATGCCTGTTTTGATCAGAGGGATACGATATTGTAAAGGGGCTATGGCCTCAATGTTCTGGAGAGCAGCGTCCGCAGCCACAGTGCTTTCCCTCCTTGCTGTAATGTATTACTCCCGAGGTTGCTTTCTCTTTGTCTGGACTTTGTAAATGATCTGGTTTCCATCATTCCAGGCATAGAGCTGCTTATCTCTGGGGTTATAATGGATCATGGAATGACTTCTTGGTCGCCTGGGGAAGAACAGTTTGGGCAGATCCTCCTCACCAATAGTGCCCAGCGGGTCAAAGACACAGGTGACACGATGAGGGCCATGGCCACCAGAACTATAGACCACATAGAGAACCCCACACAAAAGGAATGCGGCTTCGGCATCCTGGCTTCTGCAGGGGGTGTCCCATGAGTGTTCCACTGCCAGCGTACCAGGTTCAATTTTTGTGAGAACCAAATGGCCGTAGATACCTGGCCCTGAGTGGATGGCCCAGAGCCCATGCTCATCCACAGCCAGGTCAATGTATGTGGACGGGGAGTGCTGATAGACCAGCGCTCTGCCTGCCCCTCCCGGGAGGAGCATTCGATCTTCCACAGTCCTCTTCTGAAGATTATACTTTATTATCTCATTGAGAGTCCCTTGGTTGTGAAAAAACAGAAAACCTTTGTGGATCACGTGGCCTGTTCCCTGCCAGGAATGCGTTAGGATGAGCTTCCGCGGGGCTGGCTTGGTGCTATCCTCTGTGAATGCCCGCATGTTTGCAAATTCCCACAGAGTTTTGTTTCTGGATCCAAGTAGGAAATAAACCTTCTGGGAATTGCTGGCAGCATCTTTCATCCAAGAGCCGTGTGTATCCGTAGTCTTCTTCACTATTTTCAGAGACTTTATGCCCATCAACATGTTGTCACAGCCTGGCCAAACAGGAGAAAAAGGAGAGGAACTTTGTAAACATGAGATGTCTGCTCTTCTCACAGATTCCTTTCCCCCCCTGCTTATTATTGCATAGTTTGTGCACAATATAACATTAGTTTCAGTGTACAACATAGTGGTTCAACTTGTCTATATGTTAGGCTTGCTTACAGGAAGTGTAGCCACCATCTGTCACCATACAGTCCTATGACAATACCATTGACTATATTCCTATGCTGTGCCTTTTATCCTCATCACATTAATTTAACTGGACGCTGTACCTTCCACTCCCCTTCACCCATTTTGCACCCCTCCCCCCCGAACTACTAGTTTGTTCTCTGTACTTATGGGTCTGTTTCGGTTTTTTTTTTTGAAGATTTCATATATAAATGAAATCATATGGTATTTGTTTTTCTCTGATTTATTTCATTTAGCATAATGCCCTCTAGGTCCATCCATGTTGTCATAAATGGCAAGATTGCTTTCTTTCTTATGGCAGAGTAATATTTCATTGTACATTTATACCCTATCTTTATCTACTCCTCTATTGGTAGACACTTAAGTGCTTCTAGGTTTTGGCATTTGTAAATAATGATGCAAGAAACACAGGGATGCACATATCTTTTCAAATTTAGTATTTTGGGTATTTTTGGGTAAAAATCCAGTAGTGGAATTATTGGATTATATGGTATCTCTATTTTGAGGAACCTCCTTACTCTTTTCCACAGTGGCTACAATGATTTACATTCTCACCAATAGCACACAAGGGTTCCTTTTTGACTCCACATCCTTGCCAATGCTTGTTATTTCTTATCTCTTTGATACTAGCCATTCTGACAGATGTAAGGCAGTAGCTCTTTGTGGGTTTGATTTGTATTTCCCTGATGATTAGTGAGGTTGAACATCTTTTCGTGTGTCTGTTCACACTGATTGCTTTTTTTTCCCTTCAGTGTCTAGAATAAACTTATCACACATAGATCAATCACAATTTATTGTATGGTTCAAAGAATCAAAGAATTACATGAATAAATGGGTCTCTATTAAGAGAGTTGCTTTCCAATTATAAGAGTCAACACTTTACTCAAGTCAGGATATAAACAGCTATTTGCTGGGGCAAAGACCCTGTTCACTTTCTTGGGGTTGATACAGTGAGATAATCACTTAGGTGTGAAGCCACCTAGTTCAATTCCATTTGCAAAGATCTTACTGGAGATCTACTGTATACTTAGCTTACAATTCTCCCAGAACCATGCTAAGAAAGTATTGAGGATAAAAAAAATATAATATCAATCCTAATGCTTGAGGAGATCACCTTCTAGTGAAGGATTCTGGCCCTTAATACTACTAGAACATTGTAAGTACTCTATTCATCCATCCATTTATTTATTCATGAATGTACCCATTTGGTCAGCAGACAATGGATACCTACAAAAGGCAAGGTACTGAGCTAGATGTTATGCGGTGCAATAGGCTGAGGTGCAGTAATAAATCAAGAATGGCTCTTGCTTAATAGGTACCTGACTAACTACAATATGAAACTTAAAGTGAATTTTTTACAAAAGGACAGAGAATTATGCTGTCATTTAAGGAAGGGGATAATCTGCATTTGAATTGACCCTTGAAGGATGCCATTCAGAAGTGGTTGGTAATAACATTCTCACAGTTAACAAAACCACTTTTGGGAAAGTCCTTCCTGATTAGTGTTAGGAAAGTAGTGCAGAGTTTAAACCAGTATAAACTAAGTACTTGCTGTTGCCTTAAACTAGATGCATAAAACAAAATAGATTGAAAGCAGCTCTGTGGGGTATCTGGGTGGCTCAGTGGGTCAAGCATCCGACTTTGGCTCAGGTGATGATCTCATGGTTCATGGGTTCGAGCCCTGCATCAGGCTCTGTGCTGCTAGCTCAGAGCCTGGAGGCTGCTTCAGATTTTATGTCTCCCTCTCTCTGTCCCTCTCATGCTTGTGCTCTCTCTCTCTGTCTCAAAAAATAAATTAAAAAAACATTGAAGAAAAAAAAAAGAAACCAGTTCTGTGCCTGGGACATTCAGGGTGGGGCTAAGGAACATAGATTTTATTCTATAGGCAGGTAAGGAACTATTGAAGTTTTTGAACAAGTGTGATTCATGGTCAAGCTTACTTAAACTGGCAGGTCTGTGTATGATGGATACATGGGAGGAAACCAAAATCAGGGAAATCAATTAGGAGAATATTTCTAGAATCCAAACAGGATCATAAGGCTGTAAAGTAGGTGGAGGAAGATGAAGTTAAAAAGGGCGGGGGGCAGTTTACATTTTTCCAGCTCTTCTACCTTCCTTCATGCAAAAACCCTCCCTTCTTGGGGTGCCTGGGTGACTCAGTCAGTTAAGCATTGGATTCTTAAGTTTGATTCAGGTCATGATCTTATAGTTTAAGGGATCAAGCACAGAGCCTGCTTGGGACCCCTCTCTGCACCCTCCCCCCAAATAAATAAATAAACAAAAAAAATCCTTCCTTTTTTGTATCTCATGCTATTAACTCCTTCTAGTCTAAAGCATTGAGAGCTCTCCAGGACACTACCTGTATGCATTAACAGCCTGAGCACTTCCAGCCTCTTCAGCTCCACAGCACCTTGCTTTCAACCTACTTTAGTGACCCCCTCCATGCTCATACTCTGGATTCCTGGCACAACCTCCCCCCACTCAATCCCCTGGAACTATTCCCTATAAGAAATGTAAAACTCTACTATCCTACCCTCTGCGACACTACTTTACCTTTCCATTTCTCACTTCTTTGTTCTTACCTCCTTTGCTCTTTCATTTCCCTGGGCCCTGAAGTCCCTTGACCTCTGCTTTCTCTTAGGCTGTCAGCTTCCTTTCCTATCCAACCTGGACCTCTGTAATACCCCTCTCACCAGCACCCTTACCCACCAACCCCTAGTTATTCCACAATATCTACTCTACAAAAATCCCTAGCCCTGAATGAATTCAAACCTCTGGCTCTGTCCCAGAGACTTGAATGTGGTAGAGAAGACCTCGCACATAGGGCATCTCCATCCTCAGCTGAGTCCTAATTACATACTGCTCTCTCCATGGTTAGTTCCCTATCTTCCTCATAGCACATATCTAAATCCCAGCCCCATACACTCAAACTCTACTCCATCAGTCTCTTCACTAACAGCAGATTAACTCCTTTGAAAAAATAAATACCCCCAGACATGAAGTGCCTCCACCTCCTGTCCTTCACTTAAAATTTCTCTTAAGTTGTTCTTACCCTTACCACCCTCCCACACATCTTAGAAGAGGCCAAGTCATTCCTCCTGTCCAAGACTAATTCTTTCACTTGTGCTCTGATCTCATTCTTTCCTGGCTTCTTGACTCCCTCAATGAATTGCCTCTTTTCTTTTATCTTTAATTTCTCCTTCATGGCTAGTTCCTTAGCTTATTAACATTTTATCTATATTAAAAAACAATTCTCTCTCAGGCACCATTTTCTAGCTACTTCACTCTTTCTATCATTTTATATAGTTTCTCCTCCAGAATAGTTTGCTCTCTGGGTCCACCTCTTCACCTCCCAACTTTTGCTTCACAATAACTCCACAGAAACCATCCTCCATAATGTCACTGGGGACCTCCAAACTGAAAACTCAGACCTTTACATTCACATCTTACTTGATCTTCCCATAGCATGACGGTACGGATCAATTCCTCCTTCTTGAAGATTTCTTTGCCCTTGATCTTTGTGTCACTACAGTCTCTGTGTGTGCCTCCTACTTGCTTCTTCTCTGCTTATGGCAGTGACAGTGTCTGTGTTCGCCAAAATGCCATTTCATTTTTCTCTTCCCTACTTCTATATTCTCAGCTTTCTTTGTACTTAGGCTGCACCCACTGACCTGTGTTCTCTCCAAAGGGATGTGGACAGAAGTCATGTGAGCCATTTCGACCTGGCCCTTAAATATGCTATCTTCCAGATGACCTTCGTGTCTTGGAATTCTCATGGTGTCCAAGCTAAAGAGGGATATGGGCCAAGATGAAATTAATTCCACTGGTCATTTCAGGATCCATTAGGACTGAGTCATCAGCTCCAATGATAAACTTTTTGGGACTGCACCATTAGACAATCTGCTGAGTTACAGAGATAGGGAGTGGTGGCTTACTAGGAGCATGAGGAATCCTGTGGGCATCCCTCAAACTCTGCCCAGGTCTGTATCATGGGAAGGACAGAATGGTCTTAACAAGAGCATGTGAAGAGTATGGGCCTCTCTCCTTGACTGCTGGAGCATGTGGTGGTGGAATATGGTGTGTAACAATCTCTCTGGGACAACTGAGCCCTCTGGGGGTTTCCCTCAAGTCTTTGCAAAGGCTTTGGTATAAGAAGCTGGATAGGCTGATGGGTTGTCATTTTCTTCTTAATAAATGTTTGGGTTCTCCAGGCCAACTGGGGACTACCTAGAATCAGAGGACAGAAACAGGGGGAAGGGAGAGAAACTAGACACAAGGAAGAGAGGTGCACACCCAGAGAAGTCCCAGAGGTTCTGAGGTAAGCAAGTTTTCAGCAAACTTCTTGTTACTGCCAGCTGTTTGGCTAACAATCCTACCACAGTTCCTTAATCAATTCATCATCCACTACTATACCTTCTCTTCCCTCTTCAAGCCTCCATCATACCCTCCTTACCTTCATATGAAGATCTTGCTTCTTATTTTGCTTTCTAGCATGCCCTATTTCTCTCCTCCACTTTATGATAAAACCCCTTGAAGGAGGAGCTTCCTCACCTCCAGTTATGCCCTAAGCCACTCTAATCAGGCTTCAGACCCCCTACTGATCTAAACTTCCCTCCCCAAGCCACAGAATCAGTTCTTGTCAAGGTCACCAATGACCTCCATGCTGCCAAACCCAAGGGTGAGTTCTCAGTTTTCATCTTAGTCAACTTCTCAGCAAAATTTGATTACATGATCACTACCTCCCCTTGAAACTCTTTTGGATGGATGCTGGAACACGCCTCCTCTTGTTTGTCTTCCCATCTTT